TTCAGAGGGGGTTCTCGTCACCACGCCGGCCGAGCTCGAAACTCTGGTCCACGAAGTCGTTTCAGCCAAGAATCGGTATCTTCATAGGGGGGGGTTCACGCCATATCAGCTCGTCTTCGGGATCAATCCCAGGATCCCGAACGACCTCACTGGAGACGACCCCCTACAACTGGTGGGGACCGAAGACCTCTCTCCTGGATCATGGGATAGCGACACGGCGGCGGCAGAGTACGCCCGCCGGGACGCCATCCGACGCCTGGCCAGGAAAGAGCTCTTCGAGAGCTCCAGTAGGCGGCGCCTCGCGGACGCGGTCCGCTCCTCGGTGCACCGAGAAAAGCACTTCAGCCCTGGTCAGTGGGTCTACGTCTGGAGGAGGGCCCCCAGAGGGGGCCAGAAGACTTTTGCGCTGCAGAAGGATAGGTGGGTCGGTCCTGGGCTGGTCGTTCTTCATAACGGTACCTCTGTGTGGGTGGCTATGCGGTCCCGATTGTGGAAGTGTTCCACCGAACAAGTTAGACACGCCACCACCGAGGAGTCCCGGGGTGCCGAGGTTCTCTCTGACGTTTCAGTTCAGATGTTGCTTAGAGAGGCCCAGACGAGTAATCACCGGGCGGGGACCAATGTCGCCGCGGAAGGCCCCCCACCACCAGAGGCCTGGGGGCCCGATGCTCAGGTCGCCGAGGCCGGGCCGGTCGAAGCCCCACCTGTTGAGCAGGACCCAGGTGCTGGACCTGAAGGGGCGCTTGGAGAGCCCCCACCTCCTCCGCCAGGACTGTCGGGGGGTCCTGGAGAAAGCATGGGGGGGCATTCAGCCGCGGAAGCCGGTGGAAACGCTCTTCGACCGATCCCTGAGGAGAACCAGCTCGACGTGGCTTCCGATGCCACCAGGGCTCCCGGGGAGGAAGTGGCGGAAGTCTCCGACGTCAGCCAATCCAGGCAGGTGTCTAGCGGAGGAGGATCCACCGCTGTCATTTCTAGGGGTTCCAGTGGGCCAGAGAGCCGGTCTGTTTTGCCTGCCGCCAGGAGCGTTAGTGACAGGGATGGCGGTCCAGGCAAGACCAGTAGGCGTAGGCAACCACTGCCCCAAGGAGAGAAAAGGGACAGAGGGGGCGGGATTAGTTCCGGAACGTCGGCCAACCCTCCCTTTGCCGCCTCTCCCTCCTCCTCCTCTGCTCCGCCTGTTAGTGCTCCCGAGCTCGATGCTTCTGACACGGCCAGTCAACATCGCAGCGCGGAGCCAATAGACCCTGGTCGGCTCAATCCCCTGATGCAAGATAGTGCTCGGCGAGAGCTGTTGGACCTGGGCTCCAGGATTCAGAGATCCCGCACTCTCGGGGAAAGGTTTGGCGGTGCCACTCCCGGCAGAGTGCGGCAGCAGGTGCATGAGCTGGAGAGACGCTCCGCCGAAGACCGTCGCTCCAGGTCTCCAGAGGGGCAGGGATCCCGGGCGGAGACTCTTTGGGCCTCCTTTTGCGACGAGGAAGTTGATCAAGACACTTTCCGCAATCATCTTGATGAGGAGGTCTGGAACGAGGGATGGAGTGGAGACTGGTTCAGTTACTCCAATGGAAGCGCCGACGTCGAAATCATCCCGGGGCCGGGGGGAAGTTGTGACCTTTCATTGCTTGTGAACCGAGGGGCCGAGGTCAGGTACAAAGACCTGAAGGGGGAAGAAAAGAAGCAGTTCGATAAGTCTGACGAGAGCGAATGGAAGGCCATCGCGGAAGGCACTCGCGCCGTGATCGTTCATCCCCCCGAGCAAGCCAAATAATTGAGACGCCTTTTTCCCACTAGGATTGTCTCCAGTAGGATGGTTAGGAGATGGAAGCCCCAAGAGGGGACACACGCCCCCCCCAAGGCTAAATCTAGGTGGTGCGTGAGGGGTCACCAGGACGAGGATGCGAGTGAGCTTCAGGTTTATGCCCCCACTCCGTGCATGGAGGCTTTGATGCTGTTCTTGGTGGTTTCCCTCATGTACAAGATGTGCATCTATATAGGAGATATTAAGAACGCGTTCTGTCAGTCAGAACCACTCAAGGGAGCCAGGGGGAGGGTTTTTGTCGAGCCATGCGAGGGGGTCCCTGTTCCATCGGGGTCCCTCATTGAACTGATCGCCCCGGTCTACGGTCTCGACGACGCTCCTCTTGAGTTTCACAAGACCACCGCTAATTTCCTTAAGTCGCGAGGTTTTGAGCGGACTCGTCTCGAACCGTGTTGGTTCGTGGAAAGGGCCAAGGGGGCCCTCCAGGCCCGAGTCCTCGTTGAAGTGGACGATTGGGCCATTGCGTTCCGAGAAGGGTGCGAAGATAATTATTTGAAACCGTTCCAGACGAGGTTTACTTCTGGGAAAATGAAAAGACTGGATGCCGCCGGGGTTGAGTACATAGGCAGGAGGCTGCGTCTGGACGGCGACAGGGTCCTGGTGGACCAGGAAAAATACATTCTGGAACAGCTTCAGAAGATCCCCCTTGCTCGAGGTCGGAGGGGGAACCACGAAGCCCCCCTGGTCGGCGGCGAGGTGGCCGCCTTCCGGTCGCTCGTGTATAAGCTGCAGTGGGTGGGCAGGGAGACCCGCGCCGAGGCCGCGGGCACGGCCTCGATTCTCGCTACGAAGGTCAACGGCCCTTCGGTCAAGGACCTGTTGGACGCTAACAAAATGGTGGACCACCTAAGGTCCACCGCATCTCTTCCCATAATAGTCTGGAGGTTTCGACCAGACGGTTTTGTGCTGGCCACGGCCAGCGACTGCGGAGGCATAGGGGCCGAGGATAAGAAGGGGGGGCCCCAGCACCCTCAAGAGGCCTGGCAAATTTATATCGCCGATAATTCTTTAGCTCACGGGTCCCGGGCCCGGGTGACCCCGATAGCGTGGCGATCCGGAAAATTGCGCAGGCAGGTGGCATCCACCCTGGCAGGGGAGACGTTGTCTCTCTCTAGTGCCTTAGGTGAGGCGGAGTGGCTGCAGATTTTGCTGCTCGACGTCACTCGCGGCAATGTTGTCCACGAACGGTGGCGGGAGAACCTCGGCCCGTTCGTGAGTCTTCTCAAGGAGGACTGCACCGTGCTTGGAGAGCCGGTGACAGGCAACGTCAGCATCGTAGATGCGAAGGGGATCTATGACACCCTCTCGAAACTCACGTCGGGGACCAAGTCGGATAGGAGGGCCGCCATAGATCTAGCCGTCGTCAGGGAGACCATGGATCGGATAGGGAGCGCGATCAGGTGGGTACCACATCCCCACATGCCCGTGGATTGCCTCACCAAGGCCGACCTGGCCAAGACGAATGCCGCCCAACTCGCTCTGCTCAAGTCGGGCATGCTTAGGCTCAGATCGGAAGAAGATTCCCTAAAAGATCGCAGGGACGACCCCCAGGTCAAGAACCGATCCAGAGCCGAGTCCAGGCGACAGCTGCAGTGATTTCTGCCCTCTGTCTCGCCTCTTTCACCCTTCCCTTTTCAAGGCACTGGTGTGGCAAGAGTTTCTCTTTGCGTAGTTTTGGAGCGCAGTTTTTCCTGTCCAAGTGTTCTCGTAGTGCCGGTGACTGCCCCCGCGGGGAACACCAGGTGGCCAGAGTGCGTGCGATTGGACGCAGGAGTGCGGGCCCTTGCTCAGTCCAACCACTCTGCCCAGCCACGAGGACGGTGTCCAAAATGCTCACCAGCGCCAGCACTGCTAGCATGAATCGTTTGAAGAATGCCAGATGGGTCATGGATGTTGCACCTCTGTTCAAGCCCACTATTTTTCGGGGGACTGTGGGAATGAGCGCCAACGGCTCATTGATTTGCAGTTGTGTCCTCCGTCGTTTGCCTATGTGCTTGAACATACAGAGAGGGGTGCGACGTCCGTACCCATTTTGGCTCAAGCCGTATGTCCCTCACAGCCCCTCTCTGTCAATCCCAGTTACCTCCCAATCCATTCCACCCTTCCCCTGATATCCTGGCTGACCTCCGCTGGTGGCCTTGGGACATTGCTCGGACGGGCTCGAGGAAAAGGGCAGCATCTCATCCTGAGCTGACATCGTGGGGAGACAGATCTATCGGCGATGTGTCGTCGATTCCAGGCCGATGTTCCACCCTCTCAGCCATTCCCCGTGTATCGTTGTTCCTGAGACGAGGAGAAGTCGGAGAAGGGACAACGCTCTTGCAGCCAAGGCGCCGAAATAATCTTTATGGACGTTCCTTCGGCTTGCCAATGGGCCCCAGCACCGGTAGGGAGTGTCAGGGGACAAATGTGCTGCGTCGCAAGAGGCTGACTTCAGCTGACGGTTTGGAGCCAGTGGGCGACAAGAGCACATATTTCCGGCTTATCTGTTCGAGAGCGCTTGCGTTGCCTCTGTGGTGGAGCGGGTCGCGCAGACTTGGTGCACGCTTCTCGGGGCCAGAGTGTCCCAGGACAGGCTCGAGCCTCGGTACGAGTATTCGTCGCGCGCCGCTCCCCACCATTCTCCGTCCTTCCCCACTCTTGCCTCCCGCTGCGATGCATGATGGGAGCGGGGAATTTGCTGACGGCTGGTAGTAACGTCGGCTCTCGCGGAGGAGAGAGTGCAGGAATTGGCCATGATGGAGGGGGGGCGCACGCGGGATGGAGGAACCAGGCAGGGAGGAAGAGAAGGGGAAGAAGGAGGAAGTGCGGGGGGAGGAAGGGAGGTAGATTGTGTTATGAACGACGGAAGGAGAGGGGAGGGGTAAGCGGCAATGGGGTGGATAAGAGATGAGGAGGGGGGTAATTCGGAAGGAGAACGGGGGAGGGAGGGATCTCTTGAGAGCCGGTGATTTCGTCGGCTTTCGCAGTTCCCGCTACGTTCCTGAATCATGTTTGTCCTGCCTCTTCGTGTTCAGTTCTCTTGGACGCGGGAGGGAAAGGATGTTCAGTAGGAGGACGTTGAGGAGTAGAAGTGTCAATAAAAGCCTCGGCGACCTGACAGCGAATCTGACACTCATAGTATCACATGGCCTTGATTCCCTTGACGCTGCATCCACAACAACGGGCGTGAGTGGAGGTGAAAGCGTCACCGTGGTGCGCCGCCAGCTCAGAGCTTGAAGTTGTTGCCTACTTGATAGGGCAAGTGCAAATTGAGACTGCTTGAGGTGTCCAGGAAGATGTCAGCGCATTGAGGGAGTTATCCTGCCATTCATTCCCACAAGTGTGTGCGTATATGTTGACGCGGCACGGACTCTTCCATCGTTGCCCAACTGTGTTTGTGCTTAGTCGGCTCTTACGGACATGACGGGACCAGCGATGGAGGGGTCGACCGGTGCCAATTGCGGGTCATCCACCCGTCTCTTCCTCACCCTTCTTTTTTTGTTCTCTCTCTCTCTTTCTCGCTCCTTCTCTCTTCCATCTCTCTCTCTCTCTCTCTCTGTCCGTCGGTCTCTCTCCCTCTCTCTCTCTCTCTCTCTCTCTCCCTTCTCCTTCTATCTTTCTCTCTATGTCGTTATGTCCGTCGGTATCTCTCTCTCTTTTTCCCCCCCCTCTCTGTCTCTGTCTCCCTCTGTCTCTCTCTCTCTCTCTCTTTCGTTCTTTCTCTCTCCCTCTCTCTCTCTCTCTCTCTCTCTCTCTCTCTCTCTCTATATATATATATATATATCCCGTCTCCCCTCTCTCAATATATTTCTCTCTCTCTCTCTTTCTCTCTCTTTCTTTCTCTGTTCCCTCTCTCTCTTTCTCCAAATGGCGCCGCCGGCCTCTCCGTCGGCACTTGGAACAAGTGCTGAGCATGCGCGAATCTGCGTGGTTCAAATGCGCTCTTGAGCGCTGCTGGTTTGAGCCAAAATTTGTTATTCGCATGACGGCGTCGTTTCGGGTGCACAGGTCGCGCCCGATCGCGGGCCTCGCCATGGCCCGGAGGGGCTCTCGTTTGGGAATCTGGGAGGAACCATGAGAGCATCGGTTGGGGGCCATCTAGGGTGCAGGAGTGAGATAGTGCCACGCGCTCCCCATACCTTCTACACGGCCCGACATGTCCATTCGGCCCAAGAGACTTAGGATGCCCAGGAGACTCAAGAGGCCCAGGAGACTCGAAAGGCTCACGGGGCTCTGACAGTGACCCAGGGTTTCTCATATTCGTACACGCGCCCTCGTAATATGATAGCCCCTTATTCATTATTCCCTCAAGCCCACGAACAACGATTCGTTTAAAACGTGCGTTATGGATGTTCCGTTGCGCTGCGGGCGCGGCAATGGGTCGACCGCTAACGAACTCGCCGTATCCGCTCACCGCCACTGCGGGCGACCTCTCGGCATGATTGGCACTGTCCACTGAGTGGGCGATGCTGGCGCTGATGGTGACGATTACCCCCCTCATCTTCATCGCTCCCCTCGTCCTCATCACCATCACCGTCATCCCCCTCGTCCTCATCATCAGCTGCATCGTCGTCGTCGTCGCCATCTCCACCATCATCAGCAACAGCAGCATCACCATCAGCATCATCATCACCTCCATCATCATCCTCATTATCACTGACATCATCATCATCAGCATCGTCACCATCAGCATCAGCACCACCGTATTCATCAACATCCGCATCATCATAATCACGAACATCATCCTCATACTCGTCGTCACCCTTCTCATCCTCGTCATGATCCTCATATTCTCCCGTCATCATCCCCATCCTCATCCTTCTCCTCGTCCTCGACCTCTTCATCATCATCACCATCTTCACGTCGTCGTCGTCGCCGTCGTCGCCGCACCATTCGCTCGAGTGGCTAAGTTGGGATGGGCTGGCGGGCGTTCGCGAAGCGAGAACCATTCGGGATGGGGGCTGGGTGGCGCGGGCTACAGCAAACAAGTCTTTGTTTCCAGCGGCAAGTGTCGCACCCATACGAGAGGTATGTATGTGCCTACTGCTCATCAAACTCCAGTGGGGACACGCTGCTCCCGCCCACGTCGGACCCCGAACTCATGGGCCCGACGTCACGGCCTGCCTCATTCGATGATGTAAATATCTCGTCAATTTTGTCTGCGTCAGAGCGGTGCGTTTTTCCCTACTTAGGCTTTGCCTAGGAGGACTCTTACTCTCTTAGCTTAAAGGGGCCGGGCAGTGCAAAGCGCCCCGGGCGGTTCCCCCAGTCCCCGCCCCGCGGTTCCCCCAGTCCCCTGGGAGCTTTAGCTTGAGCTTGAGCTCGAGCTTGAGCTTAGCTTTAGCTTAGCTTTAGCTTAGCTGTAGCTCAGCTTCAGCTCAGCGTTTCGCTTTGCTTTTCGTTTAGCGTTTAGCTTAGCTTTAGCTTAGCTTTAGCTTAGCTTTAGCTTTGCTTTAGCTTAGCTTGAGCTTAGCTTTAGCTTGGCTTTAGCTTAGCTTTAGCTTAGCTTGAGCTTTAACTTTAGCCTGGCTTTAGCTTATCTTTAGCTTAGCTGTAGCTTAGATTTAGCTTAGCTGCTACCCAGCTTAAGCTTAGTTTTAGCTTAGCTTTAGCTTAGCTTTAGCTTAGCTGTGGCTTAGCTGTAGCTTAGCTTTAGTTTAGCTTTAGCTTAGCGTTACTGTTACTACTAATGCTGTTTTCCTAGGGATTCCAACTCCTAGGTAGGGTCGCACTGGGATAATTTGTTCCTGTCTTGTCATCGCGCGAACTGCCAGATACTTACTTGCCAGCTGAGAGGTCAGCGATTGCTTTACCTCCCATTGCAACAATTGATGTTGTATTCAAGTTCTTTGTGCTCACGCATGCGTTGAATAAGTGCGCAGCGACTTCTGCATGATCCCTTACCTTTGCCCCTGCCGCCTCAACCAGATGGGGCCATTTACCATCCCTGGACACTAAGAGGTAGGACTTGTGAGTGTACACGCATATCTTGACATTTCCAAACGACGGTGCGTGCTCGACCTGCGCGAGGGATCGTGCGTGGGCTCCTCCTTGTTCGCCAGCCTTTACAATATGTTTCGAGCCCCCCTCGGGCGGCGGGCGCGGGCGCGCTGGCTGCTGCAAGCGCATCGGCATCGAATCGATCTCCGTCGTAAACTTCGGATTATTGAGAATTTGTTGACATCCCTGATATCAATGATACGTCTCACGCGTGGGCCTGGAGTTTTCGCCTCTGTTCCTGCGGGGGCGATGCTGGCACCGCCGCGCCAGTCGCCGCGCCGCCGCGCGCCTGTCTTGCACGCTGTACAAACTCTGTGATTTTGTCTTCGGTTTCCATCCCGCCGACAATGTGCTTGCAAGCTCGAGCGCATGCGTCATCGGGCTCAACCAAGTGACGGGCGTGCCGCAGCATAACTCTGCATGAATTCATTTATGCGTTGGCCAGCTTTTCGACGAGTGAATATTGATTGGCAAATCGCTTTGGGAACTCTGCCACCATTTTTTTGCAACGCATTCTGCAGCGCAAGAGGTTTGAAGCTCCCCCGCGGCTCTGTCTGCCCGACACTGAACAAGCGACACTTCGAATTTCGTAAAATCGTTCGGTCGTGGCGCTTTCTGGCCGTCCAACCACGACTATGCACCGAGACTACACATGTCGTCATCTGTCGTTGCGCAAACGTAAGATGAAAACGCGTCATCTATGAATTCTCGTGGGGTGTCTGGAACCTGCTTTGACTTGTCACCGGGTTTGGAGCCAAACTCCATTGCTGAGACAGCGCACGCGAGAAAGACAATGAGCACGCCCATGTGACAAATGCGCGCGCACAAAAGGCTGAGGCACATGGCCACTGAACGCCTAGACAACTCATGCTCTGAAGGGTTGGTAATATTTGTACCGTCGGGGCTCCGAAGGTGCAAATATTACCCACCCTTCAGACGACGACGAGCTCGTCGCTGTCTTTCTCGGGGCTGGACGACGCATGCATTATGAGATGGTTTGCGCACGACGACGACGACCTCGTCGCAGTCTTCCTCGGGGCTGGACTCATCGTGCACGATGGGGCCCATAGGGATATGGGGCTATACGGCTATTAGGCTAATGGGCAATTGGGCTATAGGGCTCTGGGGTTATTAGGGCTATAGGGATGTAGGGCTGTAGGCCTGCAAGGCTATTGGGCTATGGGGCCATTGGGCAATAGGGCTATAGGGCGAGGGCTATAGGGCTGTAAGGCTATACGGCTATAGGGCCATGGGGCTTTAGGGCTATAGGGCTATGGAGCTATGGGGCGATGGGGCGATAGAGCTATAGGGTCATAGGGCCTGTGCCCTACAGCTATAGGGCTATGGGGCGATAGGGCTACAGAGCGATTGGGGCATTGAGCTATTGGGGTATAGGGCAATAGGGCTTAAGTGCTATAGGGCAATAGGGCTATGGGGCTTTTGGGCTATTGCGCGATTCTCGGGGTTTCATTATGTTAATGGATTAATATATCGTCAGTCTGTCCTGCCCCATTCCGTTATTTTTAATCCACCGAGATAGGGAGTCGCCGTGCACAAAAAGGGAAGAAGGCCCGTTCACAGCACGGCGCAATCGCGTGGCTTGGCTGCGGGGGGGGGGGGGGGGGAGGGGGCGGGCAGGTGGGAGGGGGATCCAAGCGATGACATTCGTTCATGGCCCCGCAAGCAAATGACCAACCTCTCCTCCATGAAACAACAATATATTATACTCCCACGTAATATACAGTAATACACCATGCGCGCTAATGTACAACAGCATATACTATAGTTGTTTTACATGCAACGACATGGACACGTCGGCCGAGAAAAACTTCTACTGTCCAATATTGTCATGATAAGACCGACATCCCGAGAAGTTCTGGATTCCATAGTTCAAGATTCGGATCCTCTGGGGATTGGGGCCGGGGTCGGGGTTGGGGCGCGGTAGAACGCCTCGGCCCCTGGCCCGTCTGACGTTTTGCGCGGGCCCCGGGCCCCCCAGGGCGGAGTCGTGCCCAGAGGCGCAGATGCTTCGCATATTGACAAAGCTCTGTTATTTTACAACAAGACAACACGGCAACAAAGGATAGCGTTGGAAAACTGCCTGGGCTGGTTTATCATCAGGCGCGCGGCGAAAATGAGGTTCTGCCAGACGGTTGCATCGCTGTCGGCCTGTGACCCGCCGCGCGACCCGCCCGCGTGGGAAGGGCAGTTAT